CTCCTCTCCTCTCCTCTCCTTTCCTCTCCTTTCCTCTCCTTTCTTCTACTATTTTCCTATTCTCTCATCTCATCCTTTTTTCAATTCCCATTTTTTTCTTGACTGTTTTTGAGACAGATTCTCAAATATCTCTGTCTGGCCTTGAACTTACTGTGTATCCAAACATAATCTTGAACTTCTGATCATTCTGCTTGTACTATCCTAATAATATCATTATAGACATGAAAGGTAGCACTGTTCATATGGTGATGGGCATAGGACATAGGGCATTGTGTATAGTAGGTAGGAACTTGCCCAACTAAGATTCATCCCCAGACCCTCTGTTTCGGTTTGTGACCTTCCCTCTGTGCTGACCATGTTCTAGGCTCTCTTTGGAAATGTGACTATAGCCCCTAGGGGATGGAGTTCATGAGAACTGACAGCAGCCTTCTGTACACACATAGAACATCTCTATTGTCCTGGTTCATGGAAAATAATACAAACATGTTTTGTGATCCCTGTCAATTAGCAATGGATGAATTTCTACTTTCCTTTATATTTTCTACTCTGTGGTCAGACTCTGAATTGTACACTAATAATATATTAAATAACATTTTTCTGTGATATTTTAAGAGACAGACTCTGATCATTTACCTCTGTGGCCTGGAAATCTAGGTATGTATAAGGATGGTTTTAAACTGACAGAGATCCATCTCCCTCTGATCCTGAGTGCCACCACAACCAGATAATAACAGGGTATTTTCTCTTCTAGGTGTTTACAAAATCAAGCCATCCCTTACTGTTGATTCAAGACCCAAGGGATTCTTAGAAAGAAAAGTGACTCTCCTGTGTCACACACATCATTTGTTTGACATCTTCATCCTCTGCAGAGGTGGAAATACTTCCTTGAACCAGAACTGCTCCCATCAGGACCACAACACATTCCTCATCTCCGTGAGCCCAGGGCACAGGAGGACCTACGTATGTTTTGGTTCTTACAAACAGAATTCCTACTTGTGGTCACTGCCTAGTGATCCTCTGGAGCCCACAGGTGAGTTCCTGTCTTACACTATGTCTTTAAGTCCATGCTCAGAGAAGCCTCAAAAATGTGTCAGGTGGGATGCAGCAATTCCACTGTGTGTCAGCTGTGTGCTGGCTGTTCCACACTGCATCACTCTGCTGTCTTGAGTCGATTCATTTGCATTCTGGAATCTGAACACTATCCGCTAATTGTGTGAAATGAGGGCATATGCAGGTGTGTTCTTTTGGAGAAGAGATGTCATTACCCATCATGATATGTGGTGTTCCACACAGTTTCTGGCCATGTAACCTACTGTAGTGTGTGCATGCTTGCACATGCATAAACACACATACCCCTTGCTAGCTAATAGTGATGGAGATTAAAAGGATCTATGCGAGTTTCTTCCTTCAGGAAGACTTGGATTTTTGCCTCACACCGTATTTTGTGAGCGCAGTGCTGTGTCTGAATCACCATCACACTAGTGGAGAAAGCATAAAGACATTTTCAGAAGAGAACAAGGGGAATTTTAATCAGGACCTTGTAGGATTATGTAGGGAGAGAGCAAATCCAGCCTCCATGATGGTTAAGATTCAGTTTTGTATCCTTAGCTCATTCAGTTATTTGTATGTTTCAGAGTTCCAGTGGAGGTGATATCTTCTAGGTAAGGAGACTAGGGCCACAAATGTGTTCTTTAAGAACTAGGGGACATTGTGGATGCTCATGGGTTAGGGATGGAAGGGTAGACCTGAGGAGGCAGAAAGAAGAAATGTCACATGAAAGATACAGCGAGACTTGTTGGATAAAGAGGGAGTTGGTATTGCTGGGCATGGGATGAGCGTGGGAAATGAGATATGAAAAGAATCAAAGCACATTGAATATATCTATGAGACTTCAAAGAAAAAACATTTAAGAAATAAGCCAAACCAAACTAATAGCATGCTTCCTTTACCCAAGTGCACAACCCTGCTTCCACTAAGTCAGGCAGCTAAATACAACAGCAGAACACTGAATGTGAAGGTCCCGGGTAGAGCTAGGAAGGGGACGGTGTGTGATGAGCTTGTGTGTAATCAGTCATCAGATGGGAGTCTCTGGTGATTGCACCAGTTAGCTTGATCGTCAACTTGACATAGCCTAGAGTCATCTGAGAGGAAAGTCCTGAGTGAGGAATTGTCTAGATCAGATTGGTCTGTAGGTATGTTTGTGGGGTAGTCTCTTGATCATTAGCCGATGTGGGAGAGCCCAGCTTACTGTCCTCAGTGCCATTAATTAGCAGGTGGCAGAATGTTAATGAATGTTAGAAGGACAATGGTAGAAAAGGAAATGAGAGCAGGCTCCCTTAGATGGTGGCTTCTTATTCTCCAAAGGCATTAGGAGGAGAGAAGGTGGGAAGGCATACGTGGGTATCCAAACAGGATGGAAAGGTAAAGAGATGACCCAGAGGCTTTATAAAATACCCAAGCCAGTGTCCATTTAAGGGACTTCCAGCATTAGATTTCTCTTATCCAGAATGGGTAAAGCTGTCAGTTTCTCTTTATCTGATGCTTGATCTGTCTTTCAACATTGTTTTTTTGAGACATGACCTCACTGTGCAGCTCTGGCTGTCCTGGAACCCTGTAAGTAGACCAGTCTGGCCCCAAACTCATAGAGATCTACCTGCTTCTGTTTCCCAAGTGCTGTGATGAGAGGTGTGGGCACTGCTATGCCTAGATGTCATTCAGTTCTTGGTCAGTATCGTGGAATGAGTTTAGCAGTCCCCTGTATGACTGCCAGTACCCCCATTAACACTAGCTAAGCAAGACTCCAGTTAGGGAGGCAGCTAAAGCATCCATACACGGTTCAGCTTCCGATTCCTGCTTGTGTTCCTGACCAACCTCCCTCAAAGGCAGAGTGTGACCCAGAAGTCTAAGATAAATCAACAGTTCTCTCCAAGTTGGGATTGGTCATAGCATGTCATTACAGCAACAGAAAGGAAACCAGAATAGTGATAAACGTATTTAGACACTTGCTCAAGTGCACTATGTTCTGATGGCCATTAATTGTGCTGCTGTAGTGAAGACACCTGCATGAGCCTGGGTTGTGTAGCTAAAGGAGTATTCGACAGCTCTCAGCTCAGACACCTGGTAACATTTCAGTAGAGCTCCTGGTTGACTAATATCCAAGCATCCCTCTCATCCTTATGTTCCCATTGCAGGAGATGTCATTTGTCTTCTTACATGTATTATTTGTTGGGTGTCTTTTGTGCCATTTCTACATGGTTCTTCACCATATCCCATCCTTTTTTAAAAACTTCCCTCAGACTCCTTCCCTTCTTTGCCCATCATGCCAACATCACCTTTCTCCTGCTATCACGGTCACTACTTGTCTCTCCACTTTCTTCTGGCCTCTCATGTCCATTTATCACCCAGCAAGTTCATTCTTCCCTCCAAACCCTCTTATATCTGCCCTCCTTCAAATTCATGGTCTCTATCTTCACCATTTTTTTTATTATGGTTGTATATATGTCTAAGTATAACCCGTAAGTCTGTAGAATGTTATTTGTATGTATGTTTTCAGGTTGACTCCCTGCCACTGGACAATCAGTTGATATGCTCTTCCCTCTGAAATACCACCTGTCTTGCTCTCCTTTTCCCTAGTTGCCTATGGCTCTTTGTCTAGCACATAGAACTTTATATGAGTGTGTATTCATCGTACAAAGTGATGTTTTCCTTCAAGCATATCCTGAAGTTTGACTTGTATTCAACCCATGCTCATATGCTCATGCTGTGTGTGATGAAACAGGTGGGAAGAGAAAGTAAGCTGGGGATGGTAAGAAGGGGTGCAGAATGCCACTTTTGGACACGATACATTCATTCCATTAGGAACTCAGTGAAACTGCACTGGCCACTGAGGCTGCCTCAGACTGAGCTTGTCAACAGCCAACTCTGATTGGGAGAAGGGCTCAAGAGTTCCTGACACTCCCCTGATGAGCTAGTCACCACTGATTGATTCTGGAAATTGAGGCATCACTGCCATTGACTGTGTAACCATTTGTGAGCCCACTAGTCTTTCATGGAGATTTGCACACTCGTGGTCACACAGATGTCCCTGGTCAAACACATTGGATCTCAAAACTAAAGAAAATCAAACATATGATTATAGAAAAGGGACTTATGGAGAGGATGAGTGTGGGTAGAGGTTGGAATGTGATAGGGAAGTATAGAAAGCCAGAATAATCAGAATGCATTGTCCAAGAATCAAGTACAGAGAGACATCTAATATTGATCAAACTGACTAAATTATTGCTATGTGTATTGTGAAATTGAAGCTAAGAGACATATTTGCAGAAGTGTGAACTTTCACTTTGTAAATACAAACTGGGTCCTAAGTAGTTAATTGTTTGGGTTGTACCACTGATTCTAGTGAATATACTAGAACAAGAAAAGCCACCAAAACATTATCCTAATAGTCAGCAATTCAAATATATTTAGTCTATAATGATTTTGGTACAGCTTGAACATGCATCTCTTTTTATGCTTTGTTCCAAAGAAATATGATCCTTGCATGAGTCTCACATTGTAGAAAGTGCATTAGTCCCATTTTGTAATATAACTTGTCCCTAGCTCATCAAACCAAAAAGCTTCCTTAGCTTTTCATACAGTTCTGTTTGTCAGAAGTGGTCTTTCTATAACCCATGTAGAGATGTATTTTATTCTAAGACCAAATACAGTGGTCGTTATTGAAAAAATAGCTGAAAATAAAGTTAATATTTGTTGACATAAAAACTTTAAATGTTGCTTTTTTTTCCTCCACAGAGTCTTTTACATCAGATTACAGATTAGAGAATTCCATTCGGCTTATCCTGGCAATCATCCTCCTGTTAGGCCTTGGGGCTCTATTGCTGGATGCGTGGAAGAGCAGAAGAGAGCCCATGGGGCCTTCATGGAATCTTAAACTGAGAGCCTAGATACCTCTTTCTATACCTCATTAAAATACTTGCAATAAGAG